TATTCTGGGGGGGGGGGCTTATAGTCGGAGGTTTACGGTATTGTAACTGACTTACGCTTGCTGACTTGCCCAGATGATGAAGCGGATGTGAGAACTGTACGCCGTCAGCAGTAAGGAAATTGATGGTTCCTATATTGAGAATGAACTTTTAGAGTTAACTGTGATGCTGCTAATGCAACTATCAAACATATGCAGTGTTTTCAATAATAAGTGTAATAGCAGACTGAAAAAATATGGGTCTCTGCTCAAAATTTCCAGCTGAAAGGCAGATACACACGTAAAAACGCACACAAGTTGTGACAAATCTGCAGCAGACTTGTAGCAATGCTGTTGTGTTCAAGACTTGTAGCAATGCTGTAACAACAACTTGTCAACAGGATGTGTTCGCACTGCTTGTTCCCAGCTTGTTGACAAGTTGTCAATGGCTCGTTGACAACTTGCTACAAGATTGTTGAGCTCAACAGACTTGTTACAAGTTGTTCCAACAACTTGTTATTGTCCTGCAGTTCAACAATTTGTCAACAAGTTGTGAGTGACAACCTTGTAACAGCATTGTTACAACTTGTTGACAAGCTTGCTACAAGCCTGTTGCGAACACATCTTGTTGACAAGTTGTTAGATTTTTACATGTGTATATATTTTGCAAATCTCTCCCAGGATTGATGATGCTCTTGGCAAAAGCAGATACCTCACCTTTATGGCTAAGAAAATGATTTTGTATAGTATTTCTATACAGCTCTGCACTCGTCTTGTCATCAGGATGATGGAACAATAAAAGGAAAGGAATTCCTTCTTCTGTCAATTCTTCGGCGTTTTCAAATGTGATGACGCGAACCAAAGGTACACAGTTTTCACCAGCCCAGGACTTTAGCGAGTCAAAGTCATTCAAAGATGCACCATACTGCACTTCCGCATTCTTTAACCAGCATGAAAAAATAACACGAAGTTACACTCTGACTCATAAAATCAGCAAACATGTTGACAGAATACAGACATGCTCATATACTTGTTAGGTACATTGCAATTAAATTACATTACATTGCACACGAACATTTCTGTACAGTGCTTCCATTCTTTTTAATTGCTTAGATAGCGATTGTAAGCAACTTGCTGCTTCGCCATCTTGCTCTTCATATACTAACGCCAAACAAAAAATTCGTAAAATCTTTCTTAACAAGCTTAATTAACCTTACTAACCATATCGAAGATCTATTTTGTATAAATTGTAAATATTTACTAAATTGTAATTGTATTCATTACTAATTTTTTTTTCTCATATGTAAATAGTCGTAATCTTTAATACTTTTTATGCCTGTAAATATCAAAATAGTGCGAGGGCCGTATGTTAGATAACTTTAATTTATGGTTAATACGTTTTCCCTCGTGAAATAAAGTTTCTTTTCTATTCTATTCTATTCTATAATTAAGCAGTATCATCATGAGGGGCCGGTTGTTCAAAGGTGGGTTCGTGCCAATCCTCAGTTAAAATTTATCCTGCTGTTTTGGTTTATGTATTTCTGCATGTCTGTTTATTCAAGAGAAGAAAACTCCTACTGATCGAGACAAGATTCAGGCCTTAAAATATCGGTCGGTCACGGACATTGTCCGACCCATTCGTGAAATTGTCCGACGTAGAAAAGAAACCACCGGACATTCTGTCCGACCTAAGTGAAACTGAGGTTTATTGTGTGTCCGACCCGAGTGTATTGGTGTCCGACCGAACTGTAGCTTTGTCCGACGTAAATCAAAATGTACCCTAGCCCAGGAGGCCAGGACTAGAGGCAGACTTGTATGTTAAATGGAAAATCAGAGTACTATTGTA